TCATTTTCTTCCCTCTTGTATAACTTTGAAGAAAGCATCTGACATGTCATTTGTCTGAAACATGTGACACATCATTCATCCATGTCTTTCAGTGCATATCTCTAAAAGATAGAATTATTTTAAATATAACCAGAATAACTTTTCACACCTAAAAAAATGATCAATAGTTCCTTAACACAATCAAATATTCAAGCGACGTTCAAAGTCTCAGTTATCTTATGCCTTTTTAAAAAAACCTTAAAATAATAACTCAAACAAGGCCCACATATGATGGCTTATTGATATGTCTTTTAATTTTCTTTTGATCTGCAGTTTCCCCTTTGTACTCTTTCTTTCCCTACAATTTATTTGTTCAAGAAACTGGGTTGTTTGCCCATGCAGAATTTGTCACTGTCTGGATTTTGTTGATTTCAACCCTGTAGTATAATTTAAAATGTTCCTTTCTCCTTTGTATTTTCTGTAAATTATTTTTTGTGTGTGTGCGTGAATGATTTGAACTCAGAGGTTTGATCTCAGTTGGGTTCGAGTTTTTTGGCAGGAACACATCATAGGTAGTGTTGCATTCTTCTACCAGGAGGCATGTCGTGTTTGGGTGTCCCTTTGTGTGATGTTAGCAGCCATTGATGTTTAATGCCAAGACTCATTATTTCGTTAGCAGTTGTAAAAAGATGATATTCCAATTCAATAATTCTTCTTCGCTTAATAACTGGAAAGTTTCTATTAAAAAAAAAACAACAACCTTATCTCATCTACCAATTCTGAAAGTTTTAATATGTGTGTCAGACAGCAATGCTCATTTCACCACTGCTGCCTGGCCATAGATGATTGACATAACTCATTAACATGCATTTTGGAGCTATGTGATATGAAAACTGTGTCTTTAAGAGGTGGAATTACACTGTCACTGAGAGGCCTCACATGGGGAGTGGAGTGGGAGTTGAGAAATGATGATGCACATCTTCTAATTCATGTTCTCTTCAAGAGGGGTGTGTTTGTGTGTGGGGGGTATGTGCCAAATATATATAGTTGAATTTACGTAATTTAAATGCAAATGTGATGTGAAATATTATAATTTTTCATATAGTGTTATTTCTATGTACTGTATATTTCTCTCCTCTTAGATTAGAAGTGCCTTTTCATAATCTTAATCAGCCCTAAACTTCTCAAAGCCAACATTCTGCAAAGCAAACTGCCTTTAATCCCCCTCTTTCTCACCTTCCTTTCTGTCCAGCAGCCATTAGTAGTATTCTCTCAACCAAAGCCACAACAGAACGCCTAATACAAACATGTCCTGGCTATATAGCCGAGACGTCCCTTGCCTACTATATTCTAAGCTGTGTTTCTAGGGTCCTATGTTCCTCAAAAAAAAAAAAAAAAAAAAGCCAAGCAAAGCAATTATTATGAAGTTTTTTTTTACATACAAGAAAACTGAATTTAAGAAATAAAATATCTTACTATTGGAAAAAGAGTGAAAAGTGAGTTTAAGCTTGGTTTTTCCCTTTATTTCCCAAACATCTTGTCTACTATCAACTTTTAGTGTAAAAATTTTAAATGAAGTTTAACATATAAACAGGCAGGTACATAAATCATATGTGCACAACTCAATAGATTTTCACAAAATGAATACACCCATGTTTCCAGAGACGGGGTCCAGAAAATGAACTAGAGCCCGAGAAGCTCCCTCATGTTCCTCCCCGTGACCACCTCACCTAACAGTAACCACCACATGAGCTTCTAATGGAATGGATTCATTTTATCTATTTTGGAATATATAAAGGGAATTATACCAAATGTACTTATTTTGTGTTGGCTTCTTTCATATGCTATTACATCAAGAGATTTATCCATCCAGGAACTACATTTCCCAGGCATCCCTGCAGCTAGGTGAGGCCATGTGACTAATTTTGGCCAATAAAATGTGAGGGGAGGTGACATGTGTCTCCACCCAGCCTAGGTGGTTAAGAATCTGGGATGCCTTCTGCACACTATCCCCACCACTTCTGTGAAGACACTTGAGGGCATGTGTTGAGGGTGGCAGAGTTAGTTCAAGCTGGAAGAAACTTGAATCTCCAAGACACTGCTGAGACGAAGAGGGTAACTTAACTGGAAGCATTGATATTTCACTTGTGTGAGCAAAAAATAAATTTATAATGTGCTGAGCCATGAAAATTGGGAGTAATTTGTTACAGCAGCCTACCCTGATTGATACAGTTGATTTGTTGGGTCACTTTACTTTTCAGAACTTTCTCTTTGTCTCTTTTTTCCTCCTTAAAGAAGTGATTTCTTCAGCATAAGCAAAGTAAACTAAACCCAATGAATTGAGGAAATAACAGGAGAATGGGAGGGAAAAAACCAGGGCTATAAAATAGAGGAGTAAAAATGTGAAAGATCAGAAATGCAAGATTGGATTAGGATGAAAAAATGTTCACTTCTCACTTCCTCTGCATTTAAACAATACAAATCTTCTCTTCCAGGCCTCTATTTCTAGATTACTTGGAGATCATACCTTTGTCCATCTCTGATACTATACCAAAATACCACAGACTGGGTAATTTATAAATAATAGAAATGTATTATTTCTCTCAGTTCTGAAGGCTGGGAAATCCAAGATCAAGGTGCTGGCAGGTTTGGTGTCTGGTGAAGGATGCTCTCTCTGCTTCCAAGATGGGGCCTTGTTACATAGTCCTCTGGATGGGATGAATGCTATGTCCTTGCAAGGCAGAGGGACAGAAGGACAAAAGCTCCTACCTAGGTTTCTCCAGTCCTTTTATAAGGGCACCAATTCTATTCATGAGGGATCCATGAGCCCTCATGACTTAATCACCCTAAATGTCCCACCTCTTTGGCAATTAAGTTACAACACATACATTTTGGAGGACACGTTCAGACTATAGCAGATGATGTTGGTACAGGAATTATTCTGGATTCCCCAGGGGGAGACCTCCTATTTACTCCTGACAAATATGTGTAGGGATCCATATTCTTTTAGTGTCAGGGAAGGCAATTAATAAAGAACATTTGGGCTTCTAATCTAGAGCAGAGGTTAGAAAACTTTTTCTGAAATGGGCCAGATAATAAATATTTTAGGTTGTATAAGCTACATACAGTCTCTGTAAAATATTCATTTTTGGGTTTTGTTTTGTTTTGATTTTTTATAAACCTTTAGAAATGGGGAGTCTCTGAGTCTACTCTGGCTTGGGAGGCTGCTGGGAAGAAATAAACTTTTTTTTTAAATGTAAAAATCAGTCTTAGCCATATTAAAGCCATATAAAAGGCTAGATTTGCCCTGTGGGCCATAGTGTGCCAGGACTGTTCTAGAACATTATTCACTTTAATCTGGATCTTTATTTCTCTGTAATTGGTAGCATTGTGGAAAGAACTTGCCTTCTAATCTATAACTTGGAGCAAAACTATATGGGCATCATTCCATTTATGCAGCCAACAAACATGTAAAAAGCTCACCATCTCTGGTCATTAGACAGATGCAAATCAAAACCACATTGAGATACCATCTCAGGCCAGTTAGAGTGGTGATCATTAAATAATCAGGAGACAACAGATGCTGGAGAGGAGGTGGAGAAATAGGAACGTTTTACACTGTTGGTGGGAGTGTAAATTAGTTCAACCATTGCGAAAGACAGTGTGGCGATTCCTCAAGGATCTAGAAATAGAAATAACATTTGACCCAGCAATCTCATTACTGGCATATACCCAAAAGATTATAAAACATTCTATTATAAAGACACATACACACGTATGTTCATTGTGGCATTGTTTACAATAGCAAAGACTTGGAACAAACCCAAATGCCCATCAATGAGAGACTGGATAAAGAAAATGTGGCACATATACACAGTGGAATACTATGCAGCCATAAAAAGGGATGATTTCATGTCCTTTGCCCATGGATGAAGCTGAAACCATCATTCTCAGCAAACTGACACAAGAACAGAAAACCAAACACCGCATGTTCTCTCTCATAAGTGGGTGTTGAACAATGAGAATACATGGACACAGGGAAGGGAATATCATAAACTGAGGCCTGTTGGGGGCTGGGGGGACTAGGGGAGGGATAACAAGGGTTGGGGAAATTGGGGAGGGACAACATTAGGAGAAATACCTAATGTAGATGACAGAAGGATGGATGCAGCAAACCACCATGGCAAGTGTACACCTATGTAACAAACCTGCATGATCTGCACATGTACCCCAGAACTTAAAGGATAATAATAAATAAATAAATAGGGGTCATTCATTGGATCTGTTAGAAACTTAAAGTGGCTCTCTTTCAGTTTCTCAGAACTACCACTCCTGCGTGAGATTTCTGGTGAAGACTCTACACAGGCAGATGAACAGTTGCTGTGGCTCATAACAGACCTTGCTTCATAACAGGTTGATATGTGCCACAGAACCCATAAAGAATAACTCCCCAAAGCCCTCTTGCAACAGAGTACATCCTGGGTGATATCAACAGGAAGATGGCTCATTCAGATTATCATGCATTCCACCCTAGTACCACTTTAAGATGGTAATGTTTTCAATCAATTCTAAACCAGGAGCTGGAAGACAGACTTCTCATCCACAGAATCCTCTGAGTATGCAGCCACTGAGTTCCCACACCCCTCATTAGTGCACTGCATTCTACTTCTTGCATTAGGGCCAATTTGAGGCCCCTGGGAAGATGTTATAAGCCACTGTAGACACTTTACCCAGACATCTTTGTTTAGTGCTTGCATAGCGCTTTAACTCCCAGCTGCTCCAAGTGTGGTCCTGGGACCAGCAGCATCCACATCCCATGGAAACTTGATAAAAATTCAGACCTGGGGCCCCACCTCAGGTTTATAAATCAGAATTTGTATTGTTAACAATATCCCCTGGTGAGTAGTGTGCATATTAAAGCTTAAGGAACACTCCTCCGATATTCACTTTGTAGACAGTTCAGCTACCGTCTCCTCAACCCTGGCTATACATTTGAACCAATTGAGAATCTGGTTTTTTTTTAAAGCGCGAACACCGTCCCCCACTACCACAAGTTATGCAGCCGAGTTTCCCACATTTGGGGAAATCACAGGGATCAGCACATCCAGAGTGCAACGGATAAGCCTCACCCTGGGAAAACCACCTTCATGATCATGGTACCTCCCCTCCCAGTTAAGCATATGAATTGAGAATCTTTAAACGTGCAGATGCCTGAGTCTCCCGACCCCTCACAGTTTCTATATCAATTGTTCTCAGTGCCGGCAAATTAGAATCACCTTGTTGTATTAATACTTTAAAATCACTTGGGTCCTACCTCAAACAAATTAAATCAGAATCTCTAAGGTGAGTGTTTGGTTTAGAAAATCTGCCTCGGCCCCAGGCCTGGCCATGTGGCCAGGTTCCATAAACCTGCTGTATTTTAGTATGTGCTCCCTTTAGTAAGACTTTATGATTAGGCCACTTTCCAGCTGTATATTTCTGCGTAACAAGCTGCCGTTCCAGAGCTCAACGGCTTAAAACAACAGCAAACATTTATTTAGCTCTTGACTGCAATTTCGGCAAGGCTCAGCAAGGACAGTTCATCTCTGCGTTACTCAGCGTTAGCTGAGGCAGCCCACCTGGGGACTGAAAAATTCATTTTCAAGGAGGCATGCTCACATGGCTGGCAAAATTTTTTTTTAATTATTATTATTTGGGAGCTCAGCCAGTGTGGTGGTCTGGAAGCCTTGGCTCCTCTCCACGTGGTCATCTCCATGGGCTACTTGAGCTTCCTCCCAGCATGGTGGCTGGGTTCTTAGAGTGAGTGTTTCACAGAAGAACCAGGTGAAGCCCTATCGCCTTCTGTGACCTAACCTCAGAAGCCATATTGCCTTTCTTCTGCCACGATCACAAGATTCAAGGGGAGAAAACAAGTGAGAGGACTATAAACTCACAATATACAAAACAGCATGTGGGCTGAAACAGTGTTGCAGCTATCTTTGAAAAATATAACCTGCCATAGGCCACCTAGAGCATGTTTGAGTGATGATAAAATCATCAGTGGCAGAGCTGCCCCATCAGCGTAATCACTCAGACACAAATGCCTCAATATTCAGAGAGAAGTGAGGTCTGGCTCCAATATCTAGAGGTTTGCTCTAAAATGTAGTGTATCAATAGAGAATCTGAGGTATAGTAAGACCAGCAGATCAGGAGATGACTGCCTTGAAATGCTAGTTTGCTATTCAGAGTTCCGAGAGGAGAGAACATGACACATCACAGGAGGCCACTCAAGAAAACACTGAGGTTGGTTACAGGCAGAGAATTTTCCTGTGGGCAGGTGCCTTTATTATGGTTTCTACAGAAAGTAACCACTGAGGCAGGGTACGACGTTTAAGATCGGCTAGTTTTAATATTTCAGCAGGCTCTGGGGTATAAGGACTATCCGTATTTTGTGGTACCAGGCCCTAAGGTTACTAGGGCAGGTAGATAATGGCCTGGAGTGTGAGATCCAGATAGAGGTGGTGGTTGAGGTATAGGCTCTGGATTGTTGGTTTGTATTTGCCAAGCATGTTCATAAACAAGTTGCTTGCCCCTGGGAGAAGCAGTCCCTCCAGCGGTCAGCAAGACCTCTGATGTCAAAGCACTGGTATCTAGAAGGTAACATACATGGTGAATACAAGGCTCCAGTAGGATGCATGTCCTCCTTGGAATTCTGTTTTTGTTTTTTGAATCTCATAGAGTGACAACTGTCATGCAGTCATCTGATTAGTAACCCCTGCCATTTCATGGCCTAATAGGCTGACACTCTTCTTTGTCTTAGACAAGTAGGGAATTTATTGGCTGCTCACTCCAAAGCTACATTTTTTAATATCCAAAAAGAAGATTTAGGTCTGGCAATGGAGAGGATTAAATGGTATTGCAAGGTTTCCAGAAGTACACACACACACGCACAAACTATACATAATTCCATTATAAATAATTAACTGGGGGCCGAGTGTGGTGGCTCACGCCAGTAATCCCAGCACTTTAGGAGGCCAAGGCAGGAGGATCACCTGGGGTCAGGAGTTCAAGATCAGCCTGACCAACATGGTGAAACCCTGTCTCTACTAAAAATACAAAAATTAGCTAGACATGGCAGCAGGCGCCTGTAATCCCAGCTACTCAGGAGGCTGAGGCAAGAGAATTGCTTGAACCTAGGAGGTGGAGGTTGCAGTGAGCCGAGATTGCATCATTGCACTCCAGCCTGGGCAACAAGAGCAAAACTCCATCTCAAAAACAACACAAAAAATTAACTGGGAAGGGTAGGCAATTCTCTGCTTATAGAATCTACTGGATACCTCTTTTAAGAAAGCTCACTGAGTATGACCAGAGAGTGAAGTGTGATAGGATTATTAGAGTTTCTCTATTCTAGAATTTTCCCTCACAGTCCACTAAAGAGGATTCAGATTCTAACCACTAAACTCACTTGTACCATAAAGGGAAAAGCTTCCTCCTGGCCTCCCTATGTGTCTTGGGCTTCCTCACAGCATGGCAGCTGAGTTGGGAGAATGAGTAGCCAATGTGAGAGCATTCTAAGAAGCAGGAGGCAGAAGCAGCTAGCCCTCCACAGGCTAGGCCTGGAGCTGGCGCAGCAACTCCTCCATCACATTCTATTGGGTAAGCAATCATCGGGCCACCCTAGATTCTAGGGAGGGGAAATAAATTCTACCTCTCCGTAGGGAGTGAAAAAGAATCTGCAGTCATCTTTAATCTACCACATACAGTGAAGCCAAATAAAAGAGGAACAAAATTTCTCTTTTAGATTCTGAAAGCTCCAGAAACATGGGGAATATAGACTTGGCCTATATCAGGAATGAAGCTATGGCTTGATGCTGATGTTATCTTTTTTTTTTACTCTGCTTGGAAAAGTAACATTTTACTGCTTATCCTTAATTCATAACTTTACCAGGATGTGCTAAAGTGTGTCTTTTCTCATTAATCACATTTGGAGCTCGGAGCACTCTTATCTGCAAACCAAGTCTTTTGTCAAACAAGCAAAGTTTTCAATTACGAGTGTGATTAACTCCCTTCCATCTGTTCCATCTTCTCCATCTGGAATGCCTATTAGTCTCACTTAGGCCTCCAAGATCTGGCCTCCAAATCTTTTTTTCTCCTCATGATTTCTATTTCTGTGTTCTTTCTGCTTTGAGAAAGAGCTTTTCATTTTATATTTCAGCTCCGCAGCCACTAATTCAATTGTCAGCAATGACCATTGCTTTCCCTCTATTTGCCTGTTTATTGTAGGTGGGGACCACGTCTAACTTTTTAAAAAATTCCTAAGTTCAGACTGGCCTTTGCCTCTAATGTGTTGGGTGTGTGCGTGTGTGTCTGTGTGTGTCTGTGTGAGCATGGCTGGGCGGATATAGCATAGGTACACAGATATTTGTGCTTACCCGTAGTATTTATGAAAGCTAAGAAAGCACCTCCCCCTTGTCCCAATATTAGGATATGCCCTTCAAAACTAATTACAGCTTCTCAACATGCTCTTTAATATAATTAACATGAATGATTAAGCTTTAAAATATAATGTAATATTTTAAAGGTGTATACATCTGGTAAGGACAAAATAAGAATCTTCCCGTATAAGGGATAGTCTATGTACTCTCCCACAAAAGGAATAATTATAATATTTTAATAGAAATACAAAGATGCAAAGTGATAAAATAGTCAAAGTTACTATATGCATGCTCCTCAGAGATTAAGCCTGTATGGGTTTCATCGCTTTTTTTATTTTTGGTTTTTTTTTTGAGACAGAGTCTCACTCTGTCACTCAGGCTAGAGGGCAGTGGTGCCATCTCAGCTCACTGCAACCTCTGCCTCTCAGGTTCAAGCGATTCTCCTGCCTCAGCCTCCCAAGCAGCTGAGATTACAGGCGTGCACCACCATGCCCAGCTAATTTTTGTATTCTTGGTAGAGACGGGGTTTCACCGTATTGGCCAGCCTGGTCTCAAACTCCTGACCTCAAGTGATACATCTGCCTCAGCCTCCCAAAGTTCTGGGATTGCAGGTGTGAGCCACCACGCTCAGACAGTTTTCCTCACTTCTAAGTCTCTGCCTGTAATTATTTTTCTGAACAATTGATCTCTTATGTTTGTTGAGTTTCTGAGAATAAAAGGAGAACATGGAGTCACATGTTCAAACTGTCTCTACAAAACATAACGTTCTTATTGCAGGTTAGTAAATCAACACTCTAAACTTCATTTAAATTTCCCTTTGTGGCTGGTGCGAGTGCAGTGGTGTTTAAAATTAATTGATCACAACCAGATTTCCTTGTTCCTTCTCCACTCCCACTGCTTCACTTGACTAGCCTTTAAAAAAGAAAAGAAAAGGCCGGGCGCGCTGGCTCAAGCCTGTAATCCCAGCACTTTGGGAGACCGAGGCGGGTGGATCACGAGGTCAAGAGATCGAGACCATCCTGGTCAACATGGTGAAACCCCGTCTCTACTAAAAATACAAAAAATTAGCTGGGCATGGTGGTGCGTGCCTGTAATCCCAGCTACTCAGGAGGTTGAGGCAGGAGAATTGCCTGAACCCAGGAGGCGGAGGTTGCGGTGAGCCGAGATCGCACCATTGCACTCCAGCCTGGGTAACATGAGTGAAACTCCGTCTCAAAAAAAAAATTACGTTTCCTCTCTCTCGGGGGAGTGAGAAGCAGTCAAAACTTTCTCTCTGTCCTCTACCTTCTATTTGTCTCCCGCCCACCCCACCTGAAGCCTGGTGGCCAATGAGACGGGGCTGGGGAGCAAGAATCTTGGGAGCTAACAACCTTGCATCCCTGCCCTGAGTCTGCACCCTTGTTCTCTGGACTTGGAGGATTTTCAAAGCTGACTTCGTTTCTGGTGGGGCACTTCCTTAGGTTTCTTATTGGTTCCTCCCTTGGAATACCAGGCTGCAGCTCCCTGTACTTGGACCATGCTCTGCTACCGGCAGCCCCTGATGAAACCCTCCTCAGCTTCTGCATCCTACGATACACCTTGAACCACATCCAGGTCTAGTCACTGGGCCCCAACCAGGAAATACTTGCAATGGGATCCATTATAAAATAAACCCAGGCCAGATGCTCCTATGGACTACCCTCTACCCACAGGAAGCATGCCCTCTACCCTCTTACGCACAACTGCTTTCTGGTACAGCCACTGGAGTCACCTTCCACCAAACGGGA